AAGGGCCTCTGCCCAGAAGCCCACCCAGCCGGGGCCCGGGCGGCTCTGGGCTGTCCTGGAGGTAGAATGTGGCTCTGACCTCTTGGAGCTACCTTTTGTCTTGGTGACATCACATAAACGGGTAATGTCATTGCTAACTCGTCAGGGTGCCTCGCATTTGTGGATCTACACAAGAGTTTTGGGTCCCAGGTAGAGCACATTGTCACTCTGGGTATCGATGGAGACCAAGGCACAGGGACATCAGGGAAGTTGCTCACAGCTGTGTGTCTATCTGTTGCTCCTGTTCCTGGCAAGGTGCTGGCACAAAGAAGGGACAAAAGCGACCAACCCCTCCCATCACCAACTGGGGCTTCCAGGTGACAGGGCAGGATGGGTAGGGGGCTTGTCCATACAGGCATTGGGAACCCTGGCCTCTCTGGGAAGCCCAGCCTCTTTGCCCCCCAAGTCCTCCCCTGGCTGCCTTGTAGAAAGCGCCGGTGTAGGACCCGCCCCTCTCTGCGAGGGCTGGCAGAACACAGCCACCGGAGGAGCACTGGGCCAGGGCTCTGTTGAGGGAAGCTGGGGACAGGGGAGGCACCTGACCTGCTTAATACTAGGCGGGAACAACCAGGGAAGGAAACCAGTGGGAAGCTGGACTGTGTGGGGTGTGTCTGTGTCACTTCCTCCTGGCCTGGCTCCAGCAGTGAGGGCACCTGTGCTGTCCTGTGACCTGTGTGTGCAACTGATGTGAACGGAGGAAGACAGCATCCACCTGCAGTCCTTCTCAGGACTTCGCAGGAGACCACAGTGGAGCCTCCCTTAGCGGGCATGTGACTGTGCACATAGAGGCGCATGTCGGGGTGTGCAGCAAGAGGGGTCTCAGGACACCCACTTCTCCAGAGTCAGAGCTACAAAGCTTAAACAAGAAGTTCTGTTCCCTGCTGGATACGAACCTCACTTTACCCAAGAAGTCCCGAGAGTGAACCCTTCCATTGTCTCAGTAACTCATCACTCAAAACATACAAATCTTCCCATGTAGCCCGTGGTCACACACTCAGTCCTGATGTACACGGTCACCTGTGGTCACACACACACTCTGTCCTGATGTACACACTTACCCGTGATCACACACAGTCTGTCCTGATGTACACGGTCACCCGTGGTCACACACTCTGTCCTGATGTACACGCTCACTTGTGGTCACACACACAGTCTGTCCTGAGGTACATGCTCACTCATGGTCACACACTCTGTCCTGATGTACATGCTCACCCAGGCACACATACACAGTCTGTCCTGTACTACACGCTCACCCGTGGTCACAATCACACTCTGTCCTGATGGACATGCTCACGCCTGGTCACACACACTGTCCCACGGTCACTGTCCCTGAACAGACACGTTCACTTGCCGCGCACAGGCTCATTGGCTCCTCTCCACCCCTTCTGAGCATTCTGCTGCTTTGTTGTCCTCAGGCCAGACCCCAGGCCTTGGCGGGCCTGCTTACGGAGTGTGTGCCTGGGCTGCAGTCTAGTGCCGCCCCCCGTGCAGCAGGCTGGCTCTCGCATGTGGCTCCTGAGTCTCCCATCCTGCCTTGCCGTGTTGCCACCAGGAGGCCTTGATCCTGGGAACCAGCCTCCCCGCAGGAAGGAGCATGCCTATAGGTCTTTCTCTCTCTAGAGGAGGAGTGCAGTGGCACCTGGAGGAGGCACGCAGCTCCCCAGGAACAGCCCAGTGCTCCTGCCTGTCTCTGGGGGGCCTCAATGGTCTGCAGCCCCTGAACGAGTGCTGTCTGTGAGAGAAGTGCACACAGGCTGTGGGTTACTCAGGAGTGCTTTCCTCAGGGTTTGGAGCAGGTTTCACCCCCAGAAAATGGGAAGAACTGATGGCTTCTGGATGTGCTCGCTCGGGCCTCCCTTGGAGGAAAGGGCCAGCCTGGGTAGGCTCCATGCCTGCTGGCCAGCCCAACCCTTGCCCTGCCCATTTGGGGCACAGTGGAGCCTCTGAGACAGTGGCTGGAACTCACTCAGGCAGAGACCCCGCAGTCCTGCTGCGGCCCCACTCTGGTTCCGTTTCAGTGTGAGGATTCGCACACACACTGCCCTGGGGGCACCAGAGGAAAGCCCCACTGGGCCTGAAGCCAAGGGTGGACTTCCACGGTGAGGGGGGCAAGGGCAAGCTGCCTGGAAGAGGAGACAGCACAGAGGGCCTGTCTGGTGACGCTTTGAGGCCTTCACTGCTCTGCTAAAGAACCAGCCAGTGGCTGTGACAGAGCCAACACTTGGTCCCAGCAGAGAGGAGATGGACCTCACCTCCCGTAAACCTCCAGAGCCATTCGTCATTCACAGAGCAGAAACTGAGCCCATGTGACAGGAAAGCAGGTGTCAGCCCAAAGGGAAATGGAGCTCTGAGCACGAGGACTGCCCAGGAGGGTGCTGTCTCCCTGCCTCTGGGGCTGGGGACCATTCCTCCTGAGGTGAGGTCTGCGACCACCAGGAAGAAGGAGTCACACAGTCAGTTCCGCAGAGAGAAGTGATAGAAAGAATGTTAGCCAGTATCAAGTGGTTGGCTCATAACCGAGAGCACAAGAACAGGACAAAGGGAGCAGCTGCAAGACATACCTACCTCTCCTAGAGCTGGGGAAAAAGGAAAGAGGTTGGAAGAACTGAAACTGAGAACCCTGTGGGCTTGGGGCCTGGAACTCTGAGGAGAGTGAGGCTCAGCTGGTGCTGGTGGGGGCGCCATGAGACCAGCCCTGCACGTGTTCGAACCCTGCGAGCCGGGGTCTGGCTCCTGCAGCGGCTGGGCACGGCGCCCGGGGGAAACGGCCCTGCTGCTTGTCAGGTGGCCTCTCGCAGGTACGGCCGGCCCGCAGGAAGGCCACAGGAGCTTCTGCAGGGTGAAGGAGGGAGGAAGCCCCTTCACCCAGCTCTGCGGTCCTCTCCAGTGCCATGTTAGGAGAGCCTGTGGGGAAGCAGCCGGCACAGCAGAAAGGCAGCTTGCAGTGTCCCAGCACCAGCATCCAGAGCACCGCAGAGACGCTGGGCGGGCGGCTGAGAGGCAGTGCTTTCATCACTGGCCCAGTAGGGGTGGGAGGAAGGTGTGCCCTGTGCAGGGGAGTGAGCAACACGCTCGCCCCTCAGATCTGGTGGCTCCCCAGGCTCTAGTGGTCGTGTTCACTTCAGGCTTCCTCATCAGCTCTGCCGGTCTAGACATGGCCAGGGCATAGACTGCTCCCTGAAGAGTGGCTACCCAGAGGGAGCCCCTGTCAGCTCCCCTGTAATGTCAGTCAGGATCCCCTTTTCCCAGGGCTGCTGAGGGGTGGGGTCAGAGGGCAGGAGCACCCTGCCCCCTGAGGGGGTCCGTGCAGCCTTACTCCACTGACGTGCTACCCATGGCTCTCTCCACAGCTCATCAGCGATGGCAGTGTGGTCTGTGCTGAAGCACTCTGGGACCATGTCACCATGGATGACCAGGAACTGGGCTTCAAAGCTGGGGATGTCATCGAAGTAATGGATGCCACCAACAGAGAGTGGTGGTGGGGCCGTGTCGCCGACGGCGAGGGATGGTTCCCAGCCAGCTTCGTGCGGGTATGGCACCGGCCTGAGCTTCTCCTAGGCCTGTAAAAAGCCAGCTGGCTCTGCTCAGAAATGCAGGCTTGAAACTGCTCTGGGGTCCGAGGTGCGGGGCATGGACCTCCCACTCATGGCTGTGGTGGGACTGCAGGTTGTGGGCTGAGTGGTGGCTGTCAGGAAGGCCAGCCGGGAGTTCTGACACAGCCTTCCTCCACCCACTCCAAGCCCTGCTCCACCCTTCCTTGGGAGCCCTCAGTGGACAGAGAGGAATGGGTCAGAATGATGCTGTGTGGCTGCCTCTAAGGGGACTGCACGTCAGAGGACCACGGCCACAGACAGCTCGGTTTACCGTGCACTTCCTATGCACTGTGCAGAACATCTGCTCCAGTCATGCAGTTAGAGCTTTCACAGCAGCTCCGGGGAAACTGAGGCATGGACAAGTCAGTCCTTAGCCCAAGAGATCACAGACAGGGGACCCAGATTCCACCTAAGGTGGCCTTTGGTCTCCACGGAAAGGCCAGGCCAAGGGCAGTGGGAAGGAGAGATCCCAGGCCTTGGGGTTCATGGCTTCTTCTGCCCCAGACCCCTTGAACAAGCTGCCCACTCTGCACCCCACGCCTTCCTAGTTACAGGTCAGACAGCCAGCAAGGCCACATCACCCTTTCACTTCCATCACAGCCTCTAGAGGGCCCTATGAGCCGACACTGGTTCAGAACTCTGCTGTTAGCATCTGCTCTGTGCCCGGCACGAGACGGCTGTAAGAGCGCCTTAGGAGGCGGCGGGTGGTCTGGGAGAACACTGACAGCTGCAGCAGTCATCGGACTGTCGGCCCCTGTCCGGATGGGCGTTATGCGGGCGATGGGAGGAGGGGAGCTTCCCGGCCCGCCCCAGCCGCCTGTGCGTCCGGCGAGTTCTCCGAGCCTCAGTTCCCCGCCGCCGCCGCCGCCGTGCTGGCTGCGGGGCGCTGCCCCGGGCGCTGACCCCTGCGCGTTGCCCGCAGCTGCGTGTGAACCAGGACGAGCCTGCGGACGACGAGGCGCTGCGGGCCGGGGCTGGCGGGGCGGAGGACGGCGGGACCGAGGCGCAGAGCAGCAAGAACCAGATGCGGACCAACGTCATCAACGAGATCCTCAGCACGGAGCGCGACTACATCAAGCACCTGCGCGACATCTGCGAGGTGAGGCCCGGCACGGCGGGGGGCGGGGGGCGCGGGGCCCGGGACTGACGGCCCGCTCGGCCCAGGGCTACATCAGGCAGTGCCGCAAGCGCGCCGACATGTTCAGCGAGGAGCAGCTGCGCACCATCTTCGGGAACATCGAGGACATCTACCGCTGCCAGAGGGCCTTCGTGCAGGCGCTGGAGCAGAGGGTCAACAGGGAGCGGCCGCACCTCAGCGAGCTGGGCGCCTGCTTCCTGGAGCACGTGAGGCGCCCACGGGGACCTCGCCCCGACCCTGTCCCCTCCTGCCCCCAGGACCCACTGCCCTGGCTCCCGGGCGCAGCGGCCCCTTTGGCCTCGGCCCTCCCCCACACACCCGGGCCCCCCCCCCCCCACCTCCCCGCCCTGTAACCTGCTTTGCCCTTGTATTCCTCGCTGCCTCCTCTCAGAAGTCAGACCTGTGGCTGAAACCCAGGCAGCCTGCCACTCTTTTCCAAAAGCTTCCAGGCCCCACCCCCCACCTGCCCGACTGTGTCACCTCCAAGCAGAGGGCACCCCAAGTCAGAGAAGGTCCCCTAGAGCAGGGGGCCTGGGCGTCGGCCAGTAGAGGTAGGAGGTGGGCTAGGCTGCCTGTTGAGCATCCCAGAGCTGTTCACAGCCAGTTCTGGGGTTCCTCACTCAGTGAGCAATCTGGAATTTATGTGGAGTTTATAGTGCCTGCTTCCACTAAATGCCAGCTGGCATTTAGCCACAGTTCACTGGACTAGTCTGGACTAGATGGACTCCTAGCCTTGCCTGATCGGGAAAACACTGGTTTTAGCCCTCTCCTGTGCAGTCACGGGGGAGTGAGCCAGCCCGTCAAGGACAGCGTGGGCTCCTTCCATACCAGGGTGGTGTTGGGGAGGGCCTGCCCCTCTCCCCAGCAGCAGGAGGAGTACTAAAGGGAGACGTGGACTGTCCACGAGCAGGTCCCGGAGTAGGCACTTCATTGACATGACCTATTGTGCCCATCACAGGAGCCGGCCCACCAGTGGCTGTTGTGCCCTCCTCCCCCACCCAAGTCCGTGAAGTCCTAGGTCGATGGCAGACCTGGTCTCTCTCTGGCTCCAGGTAGATGAAGCTTAAAAAAAAAGAGGCACAGTGAGGCTTATGTACAATACGTGCACAGTGTGGACATATCTGTGTCACACTGTGTTGAACAAAGTGACAGTGCTGTCCCTCAGACACGAAGCCAGAGCTTTGTGAAGCAGCAGCAAGACGCTAGGTAGAAAAGGCTGGGTGGCAGGCGACAGGGGCACCCAGGCCTGAGCGTTCAGAGGTCTTCGCCATCCCAGCTGTGATTCCGCACAGCTTGTACCCAGTGAAGTAGGTAGACAGAGCCTGAGCTCCGGGAGCCCAGCTCCTGAAGGAGCTGCAGAGGCTCTTGCTCCCTCCCAGCACGTGCCGGGGGGCCTTGGGGAGCAGGAGCCAGTGTCCCTAACCTGCAGCCATGCCCGCAGCAAGCGGACTTCCAGATCTACTCCGAGTACTGCAACAACCACCCCCGCGCCTGCCTGGAGCTCTCCCGGCTCGCCAAGCTCAGCAAGTACGTGTACTTCTTCGAGGCCTGCCGGCTGTTGCAGAAGATGATTGACATCTCTCTGGACGGCTTCCTGCTGACCCCAGTGCAGAAGATCTGCAAGTACCCTCTGCAGCTGGCTGAGCTGCTCAAGTACACACCCCCCCAGCACAGGTAAGGAGGCTCTTCTTGCCTCAGGCCGCTTTGCTGAGTTCTTGTACTGTGCTGGGCACTGCTGCAGGCACTGGGGCGACAGCACAGAGAAAAACCACCCCTGCTCTCAGGACCTGTGGTTGCAATGAGGGAAGAGGCCACACATAGGGTATTAAGTCCTGCTCTGTGTCGGCACGCATGGAGAAGATGGGGATGTGCACTTGACTGGTGAGGAAATGGCTGAGGGGCACCGCCACAGAGGCAAGCAGCACCACAGGGGGCTTCCGGAGGCTCTCTGCGCTCCAGCTGGCAGCCCAGTCCCATCTCTGTTCTGCCCTAGGGATTTCAAGGACGTGGAGGCTGCTTTACATGCCATGAAGAACGTGGCCCAGCTCATCAATGAACGGAAACGGAGACTGGAAAACATCGACAAGATTGCTCAGTGGCAAAGCTCCATAGAGGACTGGGAGGTGAGGGCCTGACACCCCAGAAGACACCATGGGGCTTGTCCCTGAAAACTCAAGGAGGGAGCTGAGGAGGGAGACAGCTCCTGGGAGATAGCAAACAGGAGCTGGGGACGGGAAAGCGTCCTCCACCTGGGCGCCCGAGCCCTGAGCTCCAGGCCTTTAGCGCTGCCTCCCAGAGCAGGCCCAATGGCCTCTTTCCTGGTGAAGACTTTGGGGTACGTGTGAAATACCACATGCCTCCCAAAGTGCAGCCAGCCAGCCCAGCAGGAGCTGCTCCTCTGCCCTTAGTGGACAGGCCAGATCCCCAAGTTTTTTGCTGGGACTCCCCACAGAAGGTTATGCCCCAGCATGACCAAAAATGGATCCACCGCCCAGAACCTCCTGGTGCGTTTTCTCTGGCTTGCATATTTCCCGCATCTGCCAATCTTGCCTTCTAAGGGAACACAGAGGCCGGAACAAACGGTGACATTCCTGTCCTCCTGCTCTCTCCACCTCCATCCAACAGCCATGAAATGTTATAAAAATACGGATTCCTGGGCCCCGTTCTAGAAACACAATTAGAATTCCTGGGGGTGGAGCTGAGCAATGCGGGGTTTGTTTTGTTTTGGGGGTTTTGTTTTTTGGGTTTTTTTCCAGGTGATTGATTCTGAGGCCCAGTCCTAGCCGAGGACCCCTACAAACTCACTTATCCCAAACAATGGCTGCCAACTCCTGCGATGGCTTGCATTTTGCAGGAGGAATGGGAAGGGGGGCAGGGCTTAGTCTGAAAGTTTGAAGTCTGATGATGGGACTTCGGTACCAAATATGTTTAACTGGGAAGAAGACCTTTTGCCCCTAAAAGACGGCCCTCAGAGGGGACTTGCAGCCGGGGCTAATCATCCGCACGGCAGCACTGTCCATGTGGAGCGAGCCACATGGCCGATCTTACGTGTTCAAGTAGCCATCTTAAAAAGGAAAGAAACAGGTGAAACTAATAATATTTTGTTTGACTTTATAGATCCAAAATATCATTTCAACATGTAATCAACATAAAATATCATTAGTGAATATTTCACATTCTCTATTTCATACTAAGGCTTCAAAATCCGTGTGTATTTTACTTACATGACATCTCAGCAGGGATTAGCCACATTTCAAGTGCTCACTCCACTGGCTGCCGATGAGCCCCGTTTCGCAGAGACAACCAACTCATGGGTCAAACCACCTTTCTACCCCCCACACTGCCCCCACTACTTCCTTGGGCTTCAGGAGCAGCCCCGCCCCCTACAATCTGCTGTTCGCTGCAGACCCTGGCCCAGTGGGGGCCACAGGCGGGGCCACTGGGGAGCCCTCCTCCCCATGATGGAGGCAGGACGCAGAGCCTAGCAGAGGGGCCTCCTCTAAGCTCATGGCTCTCCTTGGGCCCCCAGGGGGAAGACCTCCTGGTCAGGAGCTCAGAGCTCATCTACTCAGGGGAGCTGACTCGAGTTACACAGCCACAAGCCAAGAGCCAGCAGAGGATGTTTTTTCTCTTTGACCATCAGCTCATCTACTGTAAGAAGGTACCAGAGTTGCTCTGCTCTGCTGGACAGAGCGGGAAGGGAGGGAGTGAAGCCGTGGGCTGGGAGCAGCCACCCAGAGAACAGGAGCCACACCCACATGGTCCCTCCTTCCCAGGGCCCTAAGTGCAGCAAGGCCTTTCCTGGTCAGGCCCTTAGGGCCGGGCTGAGGGTGACTCTTTGCAGAGTGAGCCTGGTAGCCCCAAGACCACAGGCAGCCCTCAGAGTCTGACTGGGGCCTCCTTTCTGACCTAGGCCCTGCTTACACTACCTCTTCTCTCCCTGAGAGGAAACCTCAGCCTGCCCTTCCCAGTCCTGGGTCCTCTGTTGCAGCTGCCCCCTGGCCACCTCCTTGCTGCTAGTTTCTACTCCTCTTCAAAACGTGGCCCAAGCGGCCCTGTCCAGGAAGCCCTACCGACCACTAGCTCTGGCCTGGCCCTGGCAGACCTGGTGCTCTTCTCTGCTGTGTGGTGTGGGCCCTGGCCCACTGTTTCCTTGGCTGTCTCCCCATCAGACTCCTCCCTCGAGTTCAGCATGGTCCTGGGCCGTACCCAGGTCTGCTCTGCCCTCAGGAGCTCACCATGTGCTGGTGGGTGGGTGTGCAGTCCAGAGTCCTTCCAGTTACAGGGCAGAGGGGGAGGCAGGCCCTTGGACATGGTCAGAGGAGTGGTCCCAAGGCTGGGGAGGGCTCCAACAAGCAGGCTGGGCCAGGAGCTCACGGCATCTCTGGCAGGACCTTCTCCGCCGGGACGTGCTGTACTATAAAGGCCGAGTGGACATGGATGACCTGGAGGTGGCAGATCTGGAGGATGGGAAGGACAGAGACCTCCATGTGAGCGTCAGGAATGCCTTCCGGCTGCACTGCGGCGCCACAGGAGAGAGCCACTTGCTGTGTGCCCGGAAGCCTGAACAGAAGCAGCGCTGGCTCAAGGCCTTCGCCAGGGAGAGGGAGCAGGTGCAGATGGACCAGGAGACAGGTGCGACCCGGCTCAGCCTTGCTCCGCCATGAGGCCCCACCCAGCCTTCCTTGCTCCTGAATGCAAGGAGGTCAGGACAGTCTTAGACTCGAGACAGCACATCTTACAGCCCAAGAGCCTGGGTTTGGCGAGGGTCCAGGGCAGGGATCTGCTGGCCTGTGAGGGAGTTTGCTCGTACCACACCTAGACATGCACACACGCACACACACTCCATAGGGTGGGGGCCCTCTGCTTGGTCACAGGGACCTGGGGGAGCCCCTTTCCAGCACAAGCCCTGGGAGAGCATTGGAGTGGGAGGTGGGCACTGGCTCCAGAAGCCTCCCCCACCCCCCACATGAATAGGGCATCTACCCACTGCATTTCTCTCCTGGCATCGGCCCCTGGACATCACACTCTGCAGTTACCAGGTCCACTCTTGGTCTGGGAAAGAGCCTCCACCACAGTGGAAAGGACATGCGACACTGGACACGCTGGGGATCAGGTCAGGGTGGGAGATGGGGGAAGGCAGAGGAGGATGTGGGGAGGGCCTGAGAGGGCAGCAGAGGCTCTCCTCTGCCTGGTTGGCCAAGGCAGGCTAGCTGAGCCCAATGCTGAGTTCCTGCGGCATGATGGGACCCCAACCACGGTGGGCAGTGTAGGGTACAGAGGTGCACCAGTGCCAGGGAGCACAGAACAGGAGGGACGTGAGCAGGGGAGAAGGAGCTGGAAGGGCAGTCAAGTCCTCTCAGGGAAGTGGAGTCTCATTTGTGCCCCTCCCATGTCCCAGGATTCTCCATCACTGAGCTGCAGAGGAAGCAGGCCATGCTGAATGCCAGCAAGCAGCAGGCCACCGGGAAGCCCAAAGGTGAGCGGATGGAGTCCCACCTCCACCTACAGCAGCCTGGCCTGAGCTCTGATCACTCTTCTCTGACCCCTAAAGCAAAGCCAGCTAGCACCTGGTCCTCAGAGTTGCCCACTGCCCTTTGCAGGTGTTTGATCGCAAAGGTTGGTACTAGGGGCCACTGGTGACAAAGCTGTATCAGTATGCAGTTGATACCCTTGCCCTCAATGCCCTCAGACAGGGCCCCCAGAGCAGCACCATTAGTGACAGTGCTCACTTCCCCAGGCAGACTGCTTTCTGGCAAGGGGCTGATATCCCCATTCCTACAGACATCAAATGCCTTGCACAAGGCCTGTGCCACGGAGAAGCTCCAGGGCTCCTCACCTTCCCTGGCATTCCAGCTACCCCCTCGGCAGGCCACAGGAGGGCAGTCCAGGCCCCTCAGAGTGGTTAGCCCTGTGGAAAGCAAGGGCCCTCCCATGGGAGTCTGAGGCAGAGCCTTGGGACAGGCCCCATCCACCCTCCCCCCTCGCCCAAGCAGTGGAGGCTGCCACCCTGTCCTGCACCACCTGGCTCCCCAGCACCTATGACCCCTGCTGTCTTCTCCTGCCCAGCCCTCAGCCGGCCCTACTACCTGACACGCCAGAAGCACCCGGCACTGCCCACCTGCCTGCCCCAGCAACAGGTCTTGGTGCTGGCAGAGCCCAAGCGGAAGCCCTCCACCTTCTGGCACAGCATCAGCCGCCTGGCACCGTTCCGCAAGTGAGCCAGTGGCCCACCCGACCACACTGTCTGGACCTTCCCCGCCAGCGGGCCTCCGGCTTCTCCTCCTCAAGGTCCACTGTGTCCGGCCCTCCTCTGCGTATGACACAAACTGGAAGCGAGCAGGGCCATGTGAGGAAGCTGCTCAGTGCCACCAGTATGTGCCAAGTTCTGGGCTCCCATTCATGGTTTCTGCCCCACTACTGGTGCACTGAAGACACCAGCCAGACAGGGAGCCCCACAGCATGTGGACCCCCTGGCACCCTGGACGTTGGTGGGGCCTCCTGGGAGCTAGGGCTCAGAACCACCCCCCAGGCCCACACACATGAGGAGACTGGCAGCTCTGCACCCTCTTCTTTGGGCATCTAATCATCCCTCCTTCTCCTGGTTTTTTCTGGGCAGGAGACCATATCTACCTTCAGCCACCTGCCAAGCTGGGCCGTGTGCCCCCCTGCCCTCAATTCTCCTTGCAAGCCCCCAGCCCCCAGCTGGTGGTGCAGCAGCTTGCATCCCTGGAGGTTGGGAACCAGGAATTCTGCGCACAAAAACGTCTGGCCCAGAGCCCACCTGTTCTGCCTCCCAGTCCCTCTCTAGACACTCCTGGCGGCCAGACACCCTCTTCACTTGTGATGTGTGTGTTTATAGTGGAAAGAAAACAAAACCATAGTCCGCCACATACTTCTGTCAAGGTTTGTGACCAGTCCACGTGTAGCTGTGGGTTGATTCTAGAACCTTGCTGCAGTTTTGTTATTTTGTTGTTTTTATAACAATGGAGAAAAAAAAATACTGTTAGTGACACAGAAAGACTGCCTTACCCTGAGTGAGCGTGTGAAGCCGGAAGGACTGACTTCTGAGGCCCAGCATGCAGGGCGGACCCGCCCCCAGAGGCTGGTGCGCACTGGGCTGGAGGGAAGCCCACCTCCTTCTGAGGAGGGGCCCCCACGAGTGTGGCCAGGGCCTGGCTTTTGGGTGCAGAGCACCGAGCTGCCCCTCTGGCCCATGAAAACTTAGCAGCATGTACAGTCACTCTTGCACTATACCCTCTCCAAGCCAGAAACCACATTTAATTTCATAAAGAAACCTGTGAAAAATAACCTGGCTGCCAGCCCGTTTTTTGTTGCTGTCTGTGCATTTTCTCCTCTGCATGCCCCATCCTTCCTGTGCCCATGATCTTTGACCCAGGCCTTTTCTTACACTGCAGGAAAGAGCCAGCAGTACCCTGAGGTGGGGTGGGACTCACCCAGTTGCAGACCGTGCCCTCAGGCTTTGGTGGAGAGAGGCTAAGGGGGCAGGGCTAAGTGCCTCCGGGAGGCTCAGGGGAGCCAGGAGGACTGTGTCTGGCCTGGGAGCTGTCCAGGTATGAGTACAGCTAGCTCAGGGCCTGGGAGCCCACTCTCCCTGACTGCTCGCAGAGTCCATGTTTGGCTGAAGTTAGCAAATGTGGGTTTAGCTGTCAGGCTACAGAAAGGTCTGTAACCTTTCTGGGTCTCGGCATCCTCCTCACTGAAATGGGGAAGAATATGTCCTCCCAGGAGGCCCCAGGCCGCGGGACGAGAAGATTGAGGGGGGCTTCCCTGCCCCCGAAGAAACAGTCCCACCTTGCTGCCTCCACACCCCCTTAACACTGCCAAGGGCACTCGAGTGAGTGCCACCAGGGCCTCTGCCCACGACTCCATGTATTTCCTAACTGGAAAGAGGCTATAGCACCTCCCAGCCAGGCCAAGCCACCTGGAGAGAAAACCCACAGGGAAAATCATGAAAACTATGACATGCAACACAAGTCAATCTTTATTGAAAACTGCAGTATTCATACAGAACAATTCTTGTTACAATAAACGTGCTTTTAAGAATTTTAAATCTGAGCTCATCTACTCATCAGATTGCATAAAAAATTAAAATAGTATGAATTTACACACGATGGAACTGGCTCAGGATGACGCTCCATTCCTTTGTATTGACACCTGAAGTTCAATGCAGAGGCAAGGGATGCCTTTAACACTGGAAGACAATGCTGACGTAAGCTTAAGAAAAGTACTAAGAGAACGGTCTAAAAAAACAGTATTTAAAACTTAAAAAAAAAAAAAAAAGGAACCGTTTCCTAGTCAGTCATATGTTGTAACCCATGTGGCTCCTTGGGGCTTCTCCTCTGAGTGGCCGTCACAGCAACCCTGCAGGAGCGCACATGAGCTGGTCTCCAATCCAGCCCGACTATCCTACCAACACTGGTCCAGACAAGGACCCACGGGAGCTGCGGCAGGGCTCAGGTGGCTGATGCGACGCCTGTCCCCTCAGTGCACCAGGCCCGGGAGCACCCCACGTCCCGAGGCTCACGGCGGGTTCCTGCAGAGATGCCTGCCTCTCCTCTGTCTGCCCGTCCCAAGTAACTTGCACTTGAGTCCCGGGGACTCAAATAAGATTACCCCACAGGTTTTCTGTTCTTCAAATGAATAGGGGTGGGGAAAGAGACAAATCCTCTGAAACAGGTAAGATCAACTTTGAAACTTTCTACCCAAAAAGATCAGACCCTCCTCTGCAGCGTGTCACCTTCAGAAAGCTCATGATGAGTAATAATAAACAACTCAGGGAAAAACACAAACATCTGAGATGTGCTAGAGGAGAGGTAAGCACTCTGCCCCTCCCCTAAGCCAACCACAAGTCTCTTTAGAGACACACCCTCCCCTTAAAAAGCACCAGAGAAGAACCAGAAGCTGCCTCCCACCTCAAGCCACGCACCCTTAAACCTGCCCTTGCACCCACTGGAGGGCGTCACAGGCGTCCTGTCCTGTCTGGGCAATGTCCAGGCTGGCAATGATTGGGGTGTCCAGCCATTAGCTGCCAGATGGGGAGGAGGTGGCCCAACTGGTCAGAATAATACTGTTTCCAAGTGTTTACAAAGGATAGGTGAAGAAGTCTGATTTATTTTTCTAAAGCAGGCCCCAATATTGATGCGCTGGTGCCTGCCACCCTTTCGCCACCCACTGGCAGCCACACTCACAGAAAGCCACGTGGAGACAACACTGCCAGATATTAGCATATCCAAAGTGCCTTAAGACTATACCTCCTCTCATTACTGAAGCGCTGATGCCACCAGACAGAGCAAAGGCATACTGCATGCCCAGCTTGGGAAGGGCAGGATGCTTACTGACCAGGTACCCACCCCAAGGCTCAGGACCCCCTTCATCTCCTGTAAATATGACATTTGCATAGCACTCAAGAAACAGACTCAGAGAATAGCAACTGGCAGGCCTAATAACCACACCAACAAGAATGTTCTGGAAAGATTTAATACAAGAGACACAAAAGGTTCTGGAAGCACCTCCAGGCCGGTTAGCACAAATGGCCCTGGCCCTGATGCTGGCCTCACTTCCCAGAGGCAGCGAGCTGATGGGACCACTGCCATCGCTAAACACTCGGTCACTGGCCCAGACCCCAACAAGACTTCCTTCAGCAGAGAAACAGACCTCCTACACCTTAGGGGAGAGGCTGGACAACAAAAATGTTCTAAAATATCCATGATGATGTCCATGTTTATAGGAATTCAGTCCTGTGCTTGCCTGTCTCAACTTCTAAAAGAACTGTAATTCAGCTGAAAGACTCTGAAATTAGGAATGTCACATACAAAAAAGGCAAAATTTCTCTGAATGTTCCACTGTTGTGCCTGAATAATCAAATTATGCAAGTTTCTAACAGAAGTTCTATGCCTTAATTAATTTTACCGGAATTAAATGCTTCTAAAATGACAACCTATGATAGTTTTGTTACTATTCCTATGTCCAGAATCTTACCTGCTAGATAAGTTCTACTTTTCATCATATTTGATAGCTGATGCCCTGATAGTTTCGAAATTGAAAAGATTTCCACACAGATGTATTCCATAAAGCGAAAGTATCTGATAAAGTCTCCCAACTCACCTTTACAAAAGGGAAAAGAGATTAAAAAAAAATTAGAGGAGGAAAGTGTTTATAAAGCTGATGTAAATGGGAGGAAAATGCAACCCACTCTTCTCTTTCTCTTGAACACATGATTTAATTCGGTGCTCATGAGAACACTCACCTGCGTGCGCCAAGTCTCAAGCAAGCCTGGAGAAACATCCTGTATAACTTCTCATCTTTCTCCTGAATTCAAATGACTCTTCCCGACCGGTAGTGGTGTGTGTGTGTGTGGAGGGTGTGTGTGGGTGTTTTCCTTTTGCTGTTTGGGGCTTTTTTAAAGCCTATACTAAAATTATATTTTCTCCTAATCTATTACACTAAATTGGGGGACCCGACTTCTTGTTATCTGGTCAGTTCAGCCCCTGGACTCCTTAGAACGTATCAGTACTACACAGCATCCACTATACAAATGGAATGACCGACACAGAGTTGAAGAAGTGGACACAAACGGTGTGCCTGGGATAAACGGCTACTACACACACACACACACGTGGGCTAAGTGCTCATGAAGCAATTTAAAGTACTTATCAGTAAACACATTATGTTAATAGACATTAGGAATAAGGAATCTTCTGTTTACAATGATCCATGCAAAAGTGTTCCTAAAATTCTTATAAAATAAAATGTGAAAAAGAAAATTATGAAGAGTACTTACTACAAAAAATAAAGTTACCAAAGGCTCAGGGGTCAGGTGTCCCACTCACCAACTGAGGTGGAATGCCAAACCAGGGCCAGAGCCCTGACCTGGCTGCTGGAGACGCGAGAAGAGCAGCGGCCTCCCCAGGCAAAGCCTACAGCACGGCCACAGTCACACCCACCCCTGCCCGACAGACTTCTGAGAGGGAACAGAACCGTCACCCCGACCACTGACTCTGAGAAGAGAAACACACTCCCATCAAGTTGGGCACATTTAGGCAAAAAAAAATCCTCTTGACTTCTTATGTACAACATTCAGATTTTGAACACAAACCCCTCTGTCATGAATCCCAGCAGGCAGGCACACTCTGACGCTGCCTGGCCCCTTGCTGTCCACACACACGTGGTGCTGAGCGCCCTCAGCTGCAAGAAAAGATGGTAGAGGAGACGCACAGACAACAGGCCCCAGACCCTCCTCAAGCCTCCCCACAGTCGTCTCCTAGGAGCCCCTCCAAAGAGTCTCAGAGGACAAGTCTCCATCAGGTGGATGGGCCCAAACGGCCACGCCCTGCCTCTCTACAAGAAAGAATCAATTTCAAAGAGTTTTGTTCCCTTTTAATAGTTGTTAAATACAACTTTCTTCATAACACAGCTGAATCTTTGCCCTTGTCTGTGGGGAAGAACAGCAATGCCTACACATGTTTTCACCTGATTCAAACATTTCTCAGGGAAAAAAAGGAATGATTTTCTAGGCTGAATAAGGGAGAGGCCAAGACCCCCTCCAAGTGTGACTGTTTCTCATTCATATACCTTCCATCCCAGGAAAACAGTTTAGTTCTACATAGGACTTTTCCAATAAAGATACAGCAAACAGCACTGCTATCTGTAAGAGATTGGTAATGAAAATTTAGACAGACAAGATTGCTTTGCTGATACGTAAACCACCTCTTGCCCCTAACTGTACTGGCCACACAACTCTACCCTTTCATGATAATTGTTAAGAATGTCCACATCTCACTGACCCCACAGCCTAAGTGGAAAAAAAGGGATGTGCACTGACCCAGCTGTACCCACAAGGCTGTGGCCCTCCCTCACTCCCCCGTCCTGCAACTCTCTCCCAGCACAGTCGGTGTGAAAGAAACAGACGGCAGAAACTCAGAGTCCATGTGTCCAACTGGCAACCCACATCAACCCCAAGAGGCTGAAGAATCATCTAAGAGACTGCAAATGCTCTATGAAGAAATTCACTTTAACACTTACAACTTTAAGACTTTGCATACGTTACAACAGTGCATTAGGGATACAAGTTGTAAAACACTTTCCATTCCTTTGGATTTTGCATATGATGGGTTTGCATCAGTCACTGCAGGTAGATTGAGCAAGCTTTGTTTTTGTGTTTGTTTTTTTAAACATGCATTCAACTAGATATGATTCTGAATAGATTAATACTCCCTTTTTATCATTATAGTTAGCTAAAAAATTGCCAGGCAGCCCACAAAACAGGATTTGCTGTAAGAACAACCCAGAGTCAGCTGGAGACTCATGGCGCTGGGACCTGCTGGGCGGGCCGCAGGAGTGTTAGCTAAGTGTGGAGAGCATTAGGAAGAAAGTCCGGGTTGGAGGCGCGAGGCCTGCAGCACCAGCTGTGGAACCTCCATTATGTGACCGCACAGCTCCATCCTCAAACCTGGGGGAGAAAAGACAGACACAGTCACAGACCCTCTCTGGCACCACTGCTCCAAAGAGGAGGATGAAATCCACTAGGACTGGAAAGGGCAGCATTGGGAAAGGCCCTGCTCCTGGCCCCGCGGAGCTCACACTTGTGGTTGCACCTGGACCCCCACCCCATGCAGGATGGGGTGGGAGGCTGGAGCACAGCCCACAGGAGGGGCGAAGTGTACAGCGTACCCAGCAAGTACTCAACGGTTTCCCTCTCTCTCCTATTTCGTAGAGTAAGAACAAAAATTTAATCACTGCACTGCCAGTGGATCAACAGGCAGGTAGCATTTCTCTCAGCGCCTTAAGTTGTGGGAGATCTGACATTCTCCACTGACAAAAATGCACTCTAATTAGGAGCAGAGCCAGGCTTCACGGCCACTTACATTTGCAGGGTGATCACCACTGAGGGGGCACGTAGCTGTAGGTGGGTGTTCCGGGGGCCCGATATGTGGGCACCGTGACTGGGTGAGGGGCGACAGGAGTTGGGGAGTGGGCAGTCAGCAGGGTACCTGGAAGACAGAACAGTGTATCTCAGTGGCAGGCAGCACCGACCACACACAAGGCTGGCCTGAGGTCCCCGCATGCATGGCTCCGTGCTGCCTCTGAGAAGAGGGCGCTGGCTCAGCCCTCTCTGCGAGGAGGGCGCCACACAGGAAGAGGGGATGGGCTTGACCTAGGGGCTGCCAGAACTCCAATTACATACAACACAAAGATGCA